GCGGAGGTGATCCCAGGGCTCAGGGGATGTGGGAGTCACAGAGCAGCTGCGGGGGTGGACACGCAGGACCAACAGCGTGGAGAGCCGGTGGTGTCACGGGCGCTGCGGGGCAGGGTCACATGCAAGCACTGTCCACTGGGACCCGAGACCTGGCTGCCCGGCAGGAGGGAGCCCACGTGCCTCTGAGCGAGTTCCGCCACACCCACCCAGCATGCAGAACCCAGACCATGTCCCCGCTGAGCTAGACTCATAATTCCATGCCAACCGCACATGGGATAGTTGGGAAGCTGAGGCCAAGAGAGGCAGGGACTGGCTGGGGGCACAGAAGGTGGGCAGAGTCCAGAAGAGTGGGGAGGGCTATGGCCCCCTAGACCAGGGAGTTTGCTCTGGAATTTAGAGCCTCCTGTGGCCTTGGGGGACCCGATCTACCCCTTTCTATGTAGGACCCTTTCCTCTGGGCATCCCCACATGGACACAGGCGCGCGCGCGCGCACGCACACACACACACACACACACACTGCCCAGCTGGATGGGAGGTGCACACGGGGGAGGTGAAAGGAGGTGAGAAGAAAGAGGCTGTAGGCGGCTCCGCCATGAAGCAACCCTGCATCTGGGCATGCGCGTGTCCGACCACACGGGGCCCACAAACTCCACCCTTGGATCCAGTGAACGTCCGTCCCATGAAGAAGAGTGTAGCTTACTTTCAGCTTTGCAGAGCCACGATAACCCCACCTCTTTCTTATCCCCAGCCCCCTTCCCCCACCTGCCCACACCCTGCCCACCCTGCTTCGTTGCCCCGTAACATCCCAGCCGCTCACCTTCGGGGAGGCAGGGGCAGATACGAGACGTGTTCTCCTGTCTCCTCGCTTGGCTGCTTCCTGACTAAACCCTTCTCTACTGCAAACCTCGGAGTCTCTGTGCCTTGTTTGGGGTCGGGGGTGCGTCACAGACCCTGAGGCTGAGACCCCAGGGAAGGAGGGGGAGGAAGCGCTGGGAGTGCTGGTGTTGAAGGTCCTTGGGAGGGACCCATCCGGGCGCAAGGCCCGGCCCCGCCCCGCCCAGTCCGCGCCCTGGCCACGCCCATATCCCCGCCCACCTCGAGCAGCGCTCCTCCCCCACCCAGCTACTAGGCCGTCCCTGTCCCCACCCACCCCGTCCTCCAGCTCCAAGACTCACCTGAGCCGAGCAGCCTGACCTGCCATCCAGGACTGAAGAGGGGGAGCCTGGAATCTCTTGCCTGTTCCCTCTCCCTCCAATCACGGAGCGCCTTCCTCTCAGTCAGGAGAGCACACCTAGGGCAGCTCAGCATACTAGGGACAGCCTTGAATGTGCTCCTTCCACGTCAAGTTCTCAAAGAGCAGGACCCTTTGGGGCTTGTGTGAGCAGAAGAGGGACCTCATGGAAGGAGCCAGAAGGTCAAAGCATCCGGCTGGGGGCTTTGGAGCAGGCCACAGCTCCCAAATGACGTCTGGGAGTCCTCCAGCAGTAACCCCTGGGCTGGCCCTGTGCCAGCCCCCAGCCCACACATCCAGCACTTTGAGCTTCTGGAAGGGAGGAGGCTCTGCTCAGTGGGAGGAGGGAGAGACCCCTGGTGACCGTGGAAAGGTATTACCACTCGAACCTCAGTTTCCTCATCTGTGAAATGGGATTAACAGCCAACCTTACCTGGTGGCATGAAGAAAAGTTCAATGACTTTGCACTTGGAGAGTCCCTGCACACACTAAGACCTCAACAGTGCAGGAAGAGAAATGGACCAGGGTCTTTGAATCCCTCCCTGGTGGCAGAAGGCCCTGGTGCCGTGGGGATGGCTGGTCTTAGCTAGAAATGATGAAACTCACTTGATCACACACAAGATGCTAAGAACCCCCATTTCTGAGCTGCAACTACATGCCAGGCAGCAAGTCAGAGTTTTGGCACAACTTCTTATCCATGAGAAAAATACTGTTGTCACCCCCGCTTACAGATGAGGAAACTGAGCCCCTAAAGGGAAGCAACTTTCTCAGGGTCCAGATCTGACTGACTCCTGGGTGGCGTTCCCTCTGCACCCAGAACCTAGGTCTGTTGTCCACAAGGATTCAAACAGCACGGATATACAGAAGAGAGAATTTGAAGAAGGCTACATACAGTTCAGTGTACTGGAGGGGTTTTATGTTAAGTCATTTAAAGCCAAGATCATTTTTAAAAAATAATTGGTAAGTATTTTTCACCACGGATGGTGGATGGATGGTGAATGATGAATCCACGCCCACGAGAATTTTACACGACTGTATGTTTGTGGGAAGTGGCTGGAAGTCACATCCACCAAAGCCACCGTCCAAGGCAAGACTGTCCTCCATGAAATACCACTGACCACCACCACCAAAGCTGCTCTGTGCTTGCTGGTACCCACGGGAGCCAAGATGCTGTCTGTCTCATGAGTAGAGAGACAGGGTGGGAAGGGTTCTTGACAGGGAAGACAGGGCAGCTCAGTTTGGCCACTTTGGGATGGTGGAAGCCCTATCACTGGGGCCCCACACATTTCTCTTGAGAAGCAGATGACACATCAGGGTGCCTCTGAGTACAGGGGTCAACACTAAGGACAGCACAGGCAGTGAGCCCTGGGTTCAGTCCAGCCCAGTGCCAGCCTGGGCTTGATGGTGGGAGCCCCAGTGCCAAGGACCCCCACTGAGGGACACCCAACCAGACTGCAGTGAAGAAAGGCGTTCTGGAGGGCCAGTGGAGTCCGAGCGCGAGGGGCATGCATGGCAGGGAGCAGCGTGGGAGGGGCAGGGGCCGATGGCAGCAGGGGCTCTCAGCAAGGTGACATCAGCAGGAAGAACTCATGGTGCCGGAGATCTTCCAGGGCTGCTGTTCTCCACGTGAGTTATCTCATCAAATCCTCCTGACAAGTCCATGGACCAAATAAGATTATTGTCCCCATTTCACTGATGAGGAAACTGAGTCTTAAAGAGACTTTCCCACCTCTGTGCCCTAAAGAACAGGAGAGTCAGGATTGAACCCAGTGACAGTTAGACTTAGAGATACGTAGACTTCCTGTGAATAAAATCAGGCTTATACACGCACCGCCTACAAGCCCGAATCAACAAGGCAAGGACAATGAATAAGTAGATAAATCTGTTTATCACCCACTGGTTGGCAGGAGATGTTACCAAAGTAAACACACGGTTCTTTTCACAATTTGGGTTACAGAGGCACATTGTTGTGCATACACACCTGGGAAGGAGCCAGCTAGCATGAGGGCAAATGATGCCAAGCAAGCATAGGTCATACCCTTTGACTAAAAAAACGGTGAATCCAGAAATGAACAACTAAAGCATTGCACAAAAAATAAACTAAACTAACCATGGGGAGAAATACTCTTCTAAATACCTTTGGGTCAAAGAGGAAATAAACCCAGACTAGCTAGAAACGAGTGGTAATGTGAACCCAGGACACCGAGCCCCTTCCCCATGGCGTGATGACGCAGCGGCCCCACAGGAGGTGTTCGTGCCTAGGGGGGTCTTGGAGGGGACAACACGGTGGGACCACTCAGAATGGCACAGACCCCTGAGTAGACGTCCTGTGTGGAAATGTGGATGGAATCCAAAGAAGAGTGATTTGTGGGGCTACATAAATCCAAATTCATGCAGGAGAACTTCTGGAGAAGAGCTAAGCCATGGACACATGTCTACCAAGTTGTCAGCATTGCTGAGTGGAGGGAGAAGCTCACTCGCCACGTGCCCCAGAGGAGCTGGCCTGGGGTCACCGAGACCCCGACAGTGTGGACTCGCCTCCCTGTTCACCATCACCCTGAGAGCCGGACAGGTCTCAGGCGGGAATAAAAAGAGAAAGTCAACAGGACTATTAGAAAAAAAAAGAAAAGTATTATTGTTTATATTACAATTAACCATCAATGGGATCATCTATTTAGAAATTTCAAGAGAATCAATTAGAAAGAAGTCAGCTGAGACTTATAAAAGATTTCAAGAAGCTAGCCAGACGCATGATCCGCGCAGTGTACAATAAGGAGCTTTCCCACACACCACGGGTCAGCAGCAACTAATTCGTTGGTGTGACAACAGGAATCGGCAAACTACGGCCTGTGGGCCGAATCGAGCTCACTGCCTGTTTTCCGAAATAAATTTTAATTTGAACACACCTGCACTCCTCTGTTTGTTTTACTTACAGTTGCTTTTGCACGATTGTGGCAGACTTGAGCAGCTGTGACAGGGACTACCTGCCCGCTAGTCCGAAAACATTCACTATTTGGCCCTTTACAGAAAAAGTTTGCTGATCCCTTGTAATAGGAATAAAACATCCGCTAGCCATAGAAACCATTAAGCGCCAAGAAGTGAACTTACTAACCATGTGCAATGTGTACGGAAGAAAATTAAGAGCTTCTGCTTTTAGTAATGGAGGAGTAGCTCGTAGTGAACCCACCCTCTTGCGTATAAGAGCTGTTTACAATTCTACAGAATTCCCTGGAGACTCTGGCAAGTGATCAAAGGTGAAGATTTGGAAGGGAACCTTCACTTGGAAGAAGAGATCAACACCAGAAGAGATTTCTTTTGTTTACAGCTGTTAGTCTGAGACTAGGTGCCCATCAGCAACATGCAGCTAAAATTCAGTTTTTTAAAAAATCACATCTTACTGGTTTGAAGAACAAGAGGACATGCTTGCAGCAATCACAGTGGCTGAAAACTGCAGGGGGAAATACCAAAGATGAGAGACTCAGAGAGGAGAAGCCCTGAGTTTTGTGTATAAACTCAGCCCATGTCTTTGGCGGAGCTGTGAACTACCCATGTGGGGGACAGACTTCCAGCCACCAAGCGGATCCTGAAAGAATAAGAGACAATTTAGCTCTGACCCACCACAGAAGACACAGACTTTGAAATTTTGAAGCTAGCCAAGTTACTGCCTCCTAAAACAAAAGAATTACAATTTTCCTAAAGAATATAACAGAATCTGTCTCCACAATGAATCATCACGATTTCTACAGGACAATGCACAATGAGGAGACATATGAAGAAACAGGAAATGTGTTTTCTTGAGTTGGTGGCCCCCATACTCAGGGAAACAAGGCAATCAGTGAAGACCAACACTGAGATGACCCAGATGCTGGACTTGGTGGACAAGGATTTTAAAGGCACCAATATAATTATGTTCAAGGATGTAAAGAAAAATATGCTCATAATGAAAGAAAAAATATGAACCTCAGTGAAGAAAGTGACTGTGAAAAAGAGCCCAATGGAGATTCTAGTGTTGAAAAATATAGTATCTGAACATTTAAAAGCTCATCAGAAAGGCTTAACAGTAGATTGAAGATGGCAGAACAAAATGTAAGAAAACCCGAAGGTACATTTAAAACTTCTCTAATGTGAAAAACAGAGTGACAAAACTGGGGGAAGAAAATGAACAAAACCTTAGAGACCAGTCGGACAATATCAAGAGATCTAACTCACAAGTGATCAGAATCACAGAGACAGAGGGAAGGGAAACTGGGCAGAAAATGCATTTAAAGAAATAATGGCTGAGATCTTCCCAAATGTGGATGAAAACAACTTTACAGGTTCCAGAAGTTCAGCTAACCACAAGCAGAATCAAAACATACGTGTGTAACTAGCCAGACACGCACACACACACACACACACACACACACACACACACACACACACACGGGTGCCATCAAACTGATGAATCCAGAGGCTTTTTTTTTTAAGTCTTAAAAACAGTCAAAGGGGGAAGAACCTATTATTACAAGAGAAGAACAAAGAAAAACAAAAACAAAGCATTAACGCATTATTATCAGAAGCAATGGAGGTTAGAAGACAGGGCATTGGCATCTTTAAAGCGATGAAAGAAAACACTGCCAGAATCTAGCACTAGTGAAACTATCCTCGTGAATAAAGGTGAAATACAGACACATCCAGATAAGGGGAAATTAAGAGAATTTGTTGCCAGCAAACCAGCCTGCCAAGGGCTGCTAAAGGAAACTCTTCAGGCTGAAGGAACATGGTGCTAGATTGAAACTCGGACATTTAGGAAGGAAGGAAGGAAGGAAGGAAGAGCACCAAAAATGGTAAATATCTGAGACATTTAAAAGGACAATTTTTACTCTTAATGTCTTAAGAATAAATATGAGTGTTTCAAATGGGAATGGCGACACTGTAGTCTGGGTTGCGTAATGTACAGGGATGTAGCACAAATGACAATGTAGGATAGGGAGGCGGTAAATGGACATATGTGACTGCAAGGTTCTTACATCATCCATGAAATGGTATAACCTGAACTCAAGTAAGACGTGAAAAGTTCAGAATGCATGAGCTCATCCCTAGAACCACCACTAAAAACATGCAAAGAAGTGTCGCTAAAATGCCAACAGGAGAAGGCAAACAGAATTCTGCGACACTGTTTTTGTAAAGTTACAGAAAAGGCAAAACGAATCTATGGTGAAAAAAAGTCAGACCAGTGGCTGTCTCTGGGGGCTAGGAGCAGGAATTGACTGGAAAGGGAACTTCCGGGGGCGATGATACTGATGCTCTGTATTTCAGTTGAGTTTGTGGTACACAGGAGTATGCACTTGTCAAACTCACCGAACAGTACATTTCAGATCTGTGCGGTGAATTTACGTTCACTTTGTGCAAATTTTATCTGGAAAAAAAAAGAACTCTAAATAAATATTGAACTCGAGTTCACAGTATGTATGCTGAAGTATTTCAAGCACACAGAAACCTGTAACTTGTTCTGAAATGCAGACAAAACTTAGATGAGTTGAGGGAGGGAGGGAGGGATGGAGACGTGCTAGGGTAGACGGATGACACGTGTGAGTGGAAGAATCGTAGCGCGTAGCAAAATGTTAGTGGTACCACCTGGGTGATAGATACGTGAATATTTGCCGTACAATTCCTTAAAATTTGTGTATGTCTTAACTTTTTCAAAATAAAATGTTGAGAAAGACAGATTAAATTTTTTTTAGTCTTTAAAGATTTTTAAATCTTTTTAAAAAACATTTGCATGATCTTTATGGGAAAAATGATAAGATTCTATTGAAAGACATTAAAGAAAGCCTAAGTAAATGTACTCATGGTTTGGGATATCCAATATTAAAAAGATGCCAGACATCTTCAACACGATTCTGATTTAAAAAAAAAACAAATAACAGAAACCTCCTTTGAGCAATTGGAAAGAGTTTTAAAGTTAGATGGAAATGCAACAGGCCAAGGGCAGTCAAGATACTCTTGACAAAGCAGGTGGGAGGCCTTGCCCAATCAGATCCCAAGATTTATTTACAAATCTAGAGTAACTAAGATGGTGTGTTATTGTCATAAGGATAGAGAAATAGACCAAATGGAACACAGACTAGAGAGCCCAAAATAAACCCAGGCACATGGGGACACTGGTTCTCTGCGACCGAAGATATTACAAGTCAGCAAGGGGAAGAACTTTTCAATAAGTTTCCAAATACATTTTCAATAAATGGTGCTCAGATAATGGCTGTCCGGAGGAAGAAAAATGAAATTGGTCCCTTACATTAAAACCACACACAAGTCAATTCCAATACATTAAAGACCTAAGTGTGAGGCAAAAGCCTAAAGCTTTTGGAGGATAACATAGGAGGCTGAATGCATGATTTCAAAGGAGGGGATGACTTCCTAAATTTACCTGCATCAAAAGAGTCAAAATGGCAGCATAAAAACTGGAACGTGTTTTTATTTTTAACATGTGTCTAATAAAAGTACTAGCATCCAAAATATGTAGCAGACTCCCACAAATCAACAAGAAAACGACAAGCAATTGAAAGCAACAAGTTGCCAACACCAGCAAACCAAAGCAAGGCAGTGAATTCAGGCTGGGCCTCTCCAGTTGCCCGATGACTTGGGAAACTAGGCTTTGAAGGGGCCCTTAAATTCGAATGTGAACGTGACTTGAGAGCTTCTGGGCGTAAGGCACTGAGGTAGGTACTGATGGATAGAAAGACGAACAAGTGTTGGCCTCTGCCCTCAGGAGCTCACGCGATAATGAGCAAGACGGGTGGGAAATTCAGGCAGAATGGCGGACTCAGCCAAAGGGGGACACCTAGCGCCTTAGGGAGATGCAGAGGGAGCGGCAATGCACTTCAGCCGCAGGAAGAAGAGACGCAAAGAAAGCTTCATGGGAAGGTGACCTTGTCGGACCTTGAAGGATGGGCAGCGTTTACACAGAACGCGGGACAAGAGGGGAATGGAAACCCAGAGCTGAGTTGGTTTGACCAGTGGTGGGAGCCACGCCAAAAGAGCAAACGGAGGGAGGTGCACTCAGCCACTCCTCAAGTCTTCCGCCAGTGCCTTCCCCAGCAGGACGACCCCCGACACGCGCCGCAGCCTGGCGCCTGGGCGCTCAGAAGAAGAGCTCACCGGTTCCGAATCTGTGCGTGGTTCTTGGGCACCGCCACGTACCGCAGCTTCCGCAGGTAAGGCGGCCTCCGCAGCATCTGCTCGTCCCACAGGTACTCCGGGGACAGCACCTTGCTGGGCTTGTGGTAGAGCAGGTACCTGTTCAGGTGGCTCTCATCGTGCCACACGGCCTCGAGGCCACGGGCCCAGTCGGCCATCATCGCCTGGTGACAGGCCGCGGTGAGCCGGTGGACTTCAAGGACCGACCCCCCGAAAAAGCCTCCTGCATAGTAAAAATCACCCTCATCCCTCGGAATGTAAGCCTGAGACAACGCGCGGCGTTCGTAGGTGAAGGACCCGCGATCTGCTGCGTAGAAACCAGGGTGGAGGGTCCCGAAGAGCGGGGCCAGGATCTCCACGCCCACGCGGTCGCTGAACTTCATGTCCACGTCCGCGCACACGAGGTAGTCGACCTCGTGGAGGAAGCGCTGCCGAGAGAAGTTGCTGAGCATCTCCATGCGGTGCATGCATACGTCCTGCCAGCGCCTGTAGTTTCGGACCTCGAGGACCACCACCTGCCTCCCCTGCCGCAGTGGGACCTGGGGCACATCCGCCGGCCGGTCAGTGAAGACGTAGTAGTTGACCTTGTGTCCCACCATGAAGTACTTCTCCGCCGTCTCCAGGAACAGCTGCAGGAAGACCGTGTATCTGAAACCAGTAAGCACCCCGGAACGAGAGGCAGTTACTTAGGACCAAAGCAGCGGCAAAAGAATAGGCTTAGTTCTTAAGGCCTTAGGCACACCTTGAGGACATTCCGCCAAGTGAAACAAGCCAATCACAAAAAGGCAGGTACTATGTGATCCCACTTACACGAAGTGCCTAGAATAGGCACATTCATAGAGACAGAAAGTAGGACGGCCGTTGCCAGAGACTGGGGGAGGGGGAGGGGAGCTATTGCTTAGGGGGCACAGACATTCAGTTTCGCAAGATGAGAACAGTTCTGGCGATGGACAGTGGTGATGGCTGTACAACAACGTGAATACCCAACACTACTGAATAGTATACTTAAAAATAGGCAAGATGGTTGATTTTGTTATGTGCATTTTACCACAATTAAAAATCAAAAAATAAAAATAAAAATTATTGCCATTCCACTAGCTAAAGACAAGGTACCCTGACTGGATAGTAAGAGGAGAGATTCGGATTGCTTGGGGTTGAGCAAATATTTTCAACCATAAGACATTTTATTAATCAACAAGGTTGGCAATGGTTCAAAGGACAGATAATACCCATATGATGGATATCTCCCAGCTCAGGATGCCCAGAGACTTACTGTCTTTTTAAAAAAAAAAGCAATCCATGACCCTCAGTGGTCTACCAGGTCCTACAAGACCTGCCCTGACCTTGTCTCCTTCCTGTCTCTCCTCCTTCCTCTGTTCTGGGCAGGGTGGCTCCTGGAATACCCTGGTGTTTAGTAAAGATCTTTTGAACAAATGAATAAGTGAATAATTCAATATGGTTGAGGATAAGAGGAGACAAATACACTCATATGCCACTAATGAAAAGATCAATTTTTTTAATCCTTCCAGAGGGCATATGAAAAAATATATCAAGATTTTACATGTGGATATCCTTTCCCCAATTCCACTTCCAGGAATCTACCCAACAGACCTACTCACAAGCATCTACAAAGATTCAGGTATAAAACTTTTTGGCAAATCATGTCATCAAATGCTGGTAAGCATGTCGAGCAGCCAGAATTTCTGTGTGTTGTGGGTGGGGGCATAAAATGCTACAGTCAATTTGGAGAAGTGCCTGGAATTTTTTACAAAACTAAACACATATGTAACCTAGGACTGAACATTTCTGCTCCTAGATGTTCAGTTAAACCCAGTGTCCACAAAGGATTTACCCAATGACATTAATACTAACTCATAATAGACAAAACCTGGAAACACCCCAGGTGTCCATCCAAAGGAGTATTAATAAACCAACTATAATAAATACATGTGATTAAATACTGCTCACCAGCAAAGAGGACAGAGCTACTGAGCCATTCAAAATCGTGGATAAATCGCAAAATAATTATTCTTAGTTGGAAAAGGCAACAGAAAAGAGCACATACTTTATAATTGCAGCAGGCAAAAATAATCTTATAGCAGATATAAATCAGAACAGGCGTTGCCAGTGAGAAAGCAGCAATGGGTGTTGACTGGGAAGGGGCATGAGGGAACTTTCAGGGATGATGGCAACGCTATATGAGTAGAAGAGGATTTTGGTTACACAGTTACGTGTATTTGTCAACATTCGGCAAGAACGCAATGACAGTATGTTCACTTCATTGTATGTGCATTTTACCTAGAAGAGAGAAAATCTGTAAACACACAGTGAACTCTAGCTAGTGATACGCATGGAGAAGTATTGGGTCGAGGGATTGTGATGTCCAAAATTGAATTGCACTTATATCAGAGTCAATGTGGACTGCTGGGAGGACAAAAGGATGAACAGATGAATAGATTAGTGATGAAGCGTGTACAATACAATATTTATTGTGAAGTCTGTGGGACTGATAAGACACCACAGAAAGAAATAATATACTCATTATGGGAATCCCAGAAAAAGAGAAAGAAAAAGGGACAGAAAGTATATTTAAAGTAATAATTACTGAAAACTACCCAAATGACAGAATGGACATCCAGGTTCATGATGCCCAAAGGACACCAAAAAGGTTGAACCTGAAAAGGGCTACCCCGAGTCACATTATCATTACTTTGTCAAAAGTCAAACACACAGAGACAATTTTGAAAGCAGCAAGAGAAAAGTGAGTCATCACAAACCAGGGAACCGCCATACCTATGGGTAGATTTCTTAAAAGAAATTTTGCAGGCCAAGAGAGAGTGGGATGATATATTCAAAAAATTGAAAGAAAAAGCTCTCAGCCGAGAATACTACACAGCAAAACTCTCCTTCAGGAAGGAAGGGAAGATAAAGACTTTCCCAAACAAAAGCTGAGGGAATTCATTACCACTGGCCCTTCCTTATGAGAAATGCTGGAGCACTCCATTCCTTAAGCAGAAAGCAAAGGATGTTAATTGACACCATAAAAACATATTAATATATAAATAAATTCACTGGTAATAGTAAATATATAAAGTTAGGTTCCATAATATTGTAATAGTGGTATGTATTTCACTTACAATTCTAGTTTAAAAGCTGAAAAACAAACGTATTAAAAATCACCATAACTACAATATGTTTAATGTATACACAGTACAACAATATATAAATTATATAACCTAAAATGTGAGAGAGGGAGAAATTAAAATATACAGTTTATATACACCATCAAAGTTAGACTGCTCTCCGCTTAAAATAGGCAGGTATAAATATAAGATGTTTTATGTAAGCTCATAGTAATGGCAAAGGAAAACCCTGTATTAGAGACACAGAATACTCTGATAAAGGAGACAAAACCACTACTACAAAAAGTTATCAAGCCTCAGAAGACAGCCAGAGAACAAAGCAAGCTACAAGGGTCTGCAAAACAGTCAGAAGACAATTACTCACATGGCAAAACCAAGTTCTTGCCTATCAATAGTTACTTTAAACTATTTTTAACATAAAAGGATTGAACTGTCCAGTCAAAAGACACAAGATGACTGAACGGATAAAATATTTTTAAACACAAGATCCAACAGAAAGCTCCCTACAAGAGATTCATTTTGGCTTTAAAGACACTCACAGACTGACAGTGAAGGGGTAGAAAAAGGTATTTCAAGCAAATGGTAACCAGAAGAAGGAAGGAGTAGCTATATTTATATCAGACAAAACAGACTTTAAGCTAAAAATGGTCAAAAGAGACAAAGAAGTCGTTATATAATGATGAAAGGGTCAATCCATCAAGGAGGTATAGCAATTGTAAGTATTTATGTACCTAGCCGTATACAGCAAAAACTAACAGAATGAAAAGGAGAAACAAACAGCAATAGAATATTAGTTGGGGACTTTAATATCCCACTTGCGAAAATGGATAGAGCATCCAGAAGAGAAGCGTAAGTTATCAGCAGATCTGACAACACTATAGACCCAAACGAACCTGACAAACGTTTAAGGAATGGCCCATCCAGCAGCAGAATGCACGTTCTTCTCCAGTGCACATGGACGTTCTCTAGACTGTATCCCACGCTGGGCCACAAAACAAGTCTTAGCAAACTTAAAAATACTGAAACCATAAAGGGGGGAGGGTGTAGCTCAAAAATACTGAAACCACACCCAGCATCTTTTCTGACCACGCGGTGTGAAACTGGAAATCATAACGGGAGGAAAGCTGGAAAAAGCCCCAGACGCAGGGAAATCAAACAGCACACTCCTGCGCAACCAACGGGTTCAAGAAGGAATCAAGAGGGGAATCAGAAAGCACCTCGAGACAAATGGAAGTGAAGTCACAAGATCCCAAAGCGTGCCTGTGGAGCCAAAGCGGTCCCAAGAGGGAAGTCTATAGTGATACACGCATTTTTTTAAAAAAGGGAAGATCTCAAATAAGCAACCAACTCTACACCTCATGGGACAAGAAAAAGAAGAACAGAGCCTAAAGTCAGCAGAAGGAAAGAACTAATAAAGGTTAAGTCAGAAATAAATGAAACGGACAACAGGAAAGCAATTTAAAAAGAAACCAGGAACTGGCTCTTTGGAAAGATAAACAAGATGGACAAGCATGTAGCTAGACTAATCAAGGAAAAAAACAGAGAAGACACAAATAAATAAAAGTATAAATGAAAGAGGAAACATTGCAACCGATACCACAGAAATACAAAGGACTGTGAAAGACTGCTAGGAACAACCAACCATCACAAACTGGACAACCTCGAAGTGGATCAATTCCTAGAAACATACACCCTACCAAGACTGGATCATGAAGAAACAAGATCTGAACAGAGCAATGAGAAAGGAGATTTAATCAGTAATCAAAAATCTCTCATGAAAGTAAAGCCCAGGGACAGATGGTTTCACTGAATTTTACCAGTTATTTAAAGAAGAATCAATGCCAGTGTTCCTCAAACTCTTCCAAAAAACTGAAGAGAAGGGAATATTCCCAAACTCATTTTACCTGGCCAGAGTCACCCTGACATTAAAGCCAGATAAAGAACATCACAAGAAAAGAAAACTACAGGCAAATATCTTTGGTGAATACAGATGCAAAAATTCTCAACAAAACATATGCATATCAAATTCAAAAGCACATTCAAATGATTACACACCACGATCAAGTGGATTAACCATCGGATGCAAGGATGGCTCAACAGACGCAAATCAATAAATGATGCTCCACATTTACAGAGTGAAGGGAAAAATCATAAGATCATCTCAAGAGACGCAGAAAAAGCATGTGACAAAATTCAACATGCTTTCATCGTAAAAACTCTCAACACATTTGGGTATAGAAGGAATGTACCTCAACATAGTAAAGCCACGTACGACACGCCCACAGCTGACATCATACTCAGTGGTGAAAGGCTGAAAGCTTTTCCCCTAAGATCAGGAACAGGACGAGGATGCCCACTCTTGCCACCCCTGTTCAACAGAGTACTGAGAGTCCTAGCCAGAGCAATCAGGCAAGAAAAAGAAATGGAAGGCACCTGAATCAGAAAGGAAGAAGTAAAATGGTCTCTGTTTGTACATGACATGATTTTATACAGAGAAAATCCTAAAAGCTCCACCATAAAACTGTTAGATATAATCAACTTCCCCGGGCAACAGACTCAGCAGCCGTGCCTGCGGGCTGCGGCGGCGATAAGCCCCTGGCACTTGGAAGTGGTCAGCGTCAGCTACCTGTCTCTGAAAGGGACCTCTGGAGCAGATGACTCTGAGGCGTGGGACTGCCGCAAGGTCCCCCTGCAGAACCCACTAAGTTCACCTGCACCCAGAGACACTCATGCCTCTGCACCCCTCGCCCACACTGTAAGCTGAGCCCCTTGTCCTGGAAAGAAGGGACACCGAGAGAGGAGGGCCCCTCTGCTGCCAGGCTGGCTTCCTCGCTGACCCTGGGCAAGCTTCCTCACTTACTTTTTGATGGCAAATATGGTCAGCCCAATGGTGGTGTTTCTAAATTGGGCGTCCAGGATGGCAGAGTCAAAGGTCCCATCCCAGACGATGGGAGCAAACCACGGGGTCATGACCAGCACATCCGTTCTCCTGGGGAGAGGAGAGACAGTGGGTTAGAGCAGGGCACAGCGATATTGGCCACAAAGGGGAAGGAAGGATTGGTCCAAAGTCACACAGCCCGTGAGCAGCAGAGCTAGGAGCAGACTGGACTCCAGACTCCCAACCCAGCGCTCTTCCTTTGCACCATAAGCTCAGCACTCAACACTTAACACTCCTGTCCCCTCGGGGCCCTACCTGGGAGGGTCTCCCGAGCACCAGCCACGTGCTGGGTCCCACGGGACGCTCCTCTGAGGCCTCCCAGTCCTGTCTCCAGGAGGAGCTGGGTCTCAGTGAGGGCAAGGCTGAGCCCTCTCCAGCACTCGGGACTTTGCCATGAGAGGAAGAGTATGTTTGGTCTCTGCCACTCCCCTCCCCTTACCTGACCAGAGCTTTAAGGTCATAGAAGCATCTTTGTTCTAATGAGGTGACTCTGGGTGGGCTCCTGGGTAATGCAAGATGGGGGGGCTGGTCTCTGGATAAACTAAGCCCATATCCCATCCTCCTGGGAAGGGAGGGGGCTGGAGATTGAGCTAATAACCAGTCGTGCCAACGTGATGAAGCCTCCATAAAAATCCCGAAACGGTGGGGTTTGGAGAGCTTCTGGGCTGGTGGGCAGATGGAGCTGCTGGGAGGAAGAGGCACCGGGGGAGGGCGTGGAAGCCCCGCCCCCACTCCTTGCCAATTTACCTCCTCCATCGGCCTGTCCCTGAGCTGATCATTTATAACAAACCAAGATTCCAGTAAGCAAGCTGCTTTCTTGGGTTCCGTGAGCATTCCAGCAAATGATCAAACCCAAGGAGGGGGTGGTGGGACCCTGATTTACACCCACTCTGTCAGAAGCACAGGTGACAACCCTGTACTTGTGACCAGCAGGTGAAACGGGGCCAGTCTGCCAGGCTGAGTCCTCCCCCCGTGGGGTCCGTGCTGACTGCGGGGAGCGCCAGGATTGCTCGGGTGGGAAACCCACACGCTTGCTGAGAGTAGAGGAAACAAGAGTTTTTAGGGGCAAAGCTGAGCTTCAAGCCCCCTCCCGTCTCCGGGGCTGCTCCTGTCCTGTGTCCTCCATGCCCCGACCTCTTTCCCTCCAGCCTGCACAGACGCCTCTCACCTCTCCCCGACTCTTACTTCACGAGTATCTCTCACTTGTGGTCCCTGTGATAGCACACCATCAGGATACACCAACAGGGCTCCTGCCAACTTGTCCCTCCGGATCTGCACTGTCCACTGGAGACAGACAGAACTAAAGATTGTCCAGGAGCCTCAGAAAAGTGAAAGGAATCAGGGAAAATTACGTTAACTTGGTATATTTTGTTTAACCCAGTGTGTCCAAAGTACCATTTCAGTATGTCATCAATATTGAAATGAGATGTTTGACATTTGTCGTGTGCTAAGTGCTTGAAATCTGGTGTGTATTTCGCACTGACAGCACCTCTCATTCGAGAACGCTCCCATCTCAAGTGTCCATGACCACAGGCAGATGGTGGCTGTATAAATCCACGGAGATACGGGCGTAGGTTTCACGAAGGACAGTGAGCATTTCCAGCGCTCCTGGAAGGGGGTGGCATGCCACCACGGAAGCCGCTGGGCTTGCATCCTGCCCTGCCCCTCAGCTATTGCAGGGCCCCAGGCAAGTTCCTCCCCTTCTCCGAGCCTCAGTTTCCCTGCTTATAAAGCAAGGACCGATCAGAAGGGTCTCTGGGCTACCTTCCTGCCCCGAAGCTCTGGGATCCGGTGCCAGGGCGACAGGCTGCCCGCCCTCTCTCCTGGGCACTGAAGGCAGGAGGAGTGGGCCCTGGCTAAGGAGGGGTGGATTTGGGGCCAGGCAACTGCGTGTGGAACCATTGTCCCCCAGACGTTTACACCAGTGGAAAGACCTCAGGGAGAGCCCAGCCCAGGCCCCTGGCGTTCTTCCCTAAGAAGAAACAAGAGACAGTTCCACGCCTGGCCCACCTGGCTCCTAGTGACCAAGACTCAAAGGCACCTTCCACTGCTCCTTTGTACCAAGCCCATGAAAAACTGACCCAGCCTCCTACAGCAGTGACAGGGAGGTTGGAGCCAGGCAGAGGAGCACGAGAGAGGGAAACACAAAGTAAGCGGTGCCGGTGGGGACGCGCCTACTTACGTGGGCTGGAGGACCTGAGCCTTGGGGTAAACCAACCTGCGGACAGGACAAGACAGCATGAGGAGAGCCCACCCACATCCCAGACGCCCCAGAGCTGCAAGGCGCCCCTTCCCGGATCAGCCTGCCAGCTGTGCCAGGAGGTGGCACTCAGCCATAGGGACTTCCTTCTTCCATCTTTCCTTCAGTCCTGCCCGCCCAGCCCTGAGAATACACGCGCCTCCCCAGTGATAAACTAATGGGGCTGAAATACGAGGAAAGGAAAGGAGGATTTCGCTAAGTGTGTTATGATAGTTGCTTCGGTTAGAGACACCGCCCCCACCCCATGTCTCTCCTCTCCTTGTAAGTCCTTCCTGTGATCTCACTCATTATGACTAAAGTCTTCAAGTCCTGCTTTTATTCAGGGAATGGGGAGCGCCGGGCTGGCCCACCCCAACTCCATCCCCCCTCCGCCTCCCACGGGAACCACCTCACCACCCGCCCCACTGCCTCCCTGCTGTCTCCTTCCCTCCACGCCCCACTGACCACACTGTCAGTTTTCAGCAGAGCTGGGGGCTGAGTCACTGGGGCTGAGTCACCCCAGGAAAGGCAGCTGGGCGGGGGCAGCCACGAGGCCCAAGATCAACTGGACTCACCTGTGAGTCCCACCATGGAATGCCCGCTCCAGGTTGTTCCTCCCGCTCCCGTTGTCATGACCACCCTCCCCCTTCCCTTGTGTCTTCCTTCCCCAGGAGTCAGGCTCTGAGGGAGGAGAGGAGGGTGAAGGAGGAGGATGAAGGGGGAGCACCGGTTGACTTGCTTGGAAGCAGGCACGGATACAGCCCACAGGTGTGGTCTCCATACCTGGGCACTTCAGGTATCTTGCAGGTGTCCATGTGGCAGTCGCCCTCACTGAGGGAGGAAAACAGCACTTAGAGCCGAGGGCAGGGGCCTGGGAGAGGCACTGCTGTGCCAGACCAGCCAGGACTCCTGAGGGCCAGCAGGCAACAGTCTCTCCCGAGGAAAGCTCCCCATGGCTGCAAAGCTTGGGCCCTGTGGCCAGGTGAGGGGACCAATGATGGTAAGCCGGGCCAGGAAACCTCTGGGAGCTTGGTGCTCAGCTCTGCCCAAAGGGATTCCACCCCATGGTGATAAACTGGCCTGAGGAGAGCCCTGCTCCTGGGGGCGGGGGCGGGGAGAGGGGCGATGTGGGAGGTAGGACCAGGGGCCCTGAAATCCCAAAAGCAGCTCTGGCAATGCCCCCCTCACCCCTGGAAGCCCAGCTCCCACCCTACCTGACCTCCGTCTTCTCCAGCAGCAGCCGGTGCAGAACCACGGTGTGTTTTATCC